CCTACACGCCACCCAGTCACCTGACGAAGTTCCCCCTACACGCCACCCAGTCACCTGACGAAGTTCCCCCTACACGCCACCCAGTCACCTGACGAAGTTCCCCCTACACGCCACCCAGTCACCTGACGAAGTTCCCCCTACACGCCACCCAGTCACCTGACGAAGTTCCCCCTACACGCCACCNTATATAAATATTATAAAAGGCACCTAAATATAAATATTATATAAGGCAACGTAAATATAAATACTATAGAAGCCAACCTAAATATGTTGCCAGTGTTGGTGTCGAGGATGTCGGTGGTGGCAGCAGATGGCAGCGGCGGCAGGAGGCAGGGACAGGACGGCAGCTCCTGCACTCCTGAGAGCTGCTGCAGCACGCGCTCTGCTGGCGACCTCTGCCACTCGTCACACTCGTCCCCATCTGACCAGTAATCATCATTAATCATTCGACCATTAATCATCTGACCATTAATCAATTGATCATTGATGACCAGTAATGACCATTGATCATGTGAATATTTATGACCATTAATCATCTAACCATTAATGACCATTGATCATGTGAATATTTATGACCATTAATTTAATGACCATTGGTCATCTGACCCGTATTGACCAATAACCAACTGACCATCAATGACAATAACCATCTGACCATGCATCAATGACCATTGATCATCTGACCACTAATGACTGAGGGAAAGCTCGCTATAAATTTACTTTCCGCTAAACTTACACGTCACGTCATGCGTGCCGGCAAACTTGCCGCACTGCTATCTCAGTCGTGGAGGAACGCGCACTTGCCGCTCCTCGTTTTGCTGTTTAGCCGGTGAGTTGCGTAGGACTAAAGCTTGTTAGCTCTGGTGTTATGATGTGTTGTAATGTCCATCTATCGCATTCAGTCATTTGCCTAAATTTTGCTATTTGTTAAGGTAAATGTTTAGGAAGGATGTGACTTTAATTGCCTAGCCTGTTCCTACTTGCGGTTAGGTCTGGCCTTTATAGGCTTCTTAAATGTATTTGCGCTAGCAATATGTTGATTGCTAGTTGCCATGTTTTAGGTTTCTATTTGTTGATGGTGTCCGTGCCCCAACGGTCTGCTCGCTTAAACGCCCTGGCGCTGCAGCACCTACAGCCTGACATTGACCATGTCCCTTTTGTTTAAGGTACGCCGGTGTGCCTGCTTGGTAGCACTGACCACGTTACCTCCGGAGCCCTTGTTGTATTTTTCTCCGAGTCTGCTGGAACTGTCTGGTCTACACGGGCCGGCTTCGTCGCGACAGCGTTCGTGGCAACTCTATTGAGCTGGCAAATCTCAAGTTGAGTTGGGCGCTGCTTGTGTTTTCAGTCCGTGAATGACCTAAGGAGGAGCCGACTTCAAGCAGCCTAAACTTAGTTCAGTTTATCTCGTACTTGTTTATAGTTTGAATATAGTTTAACGTGACGTAGTAGGTAGGCACGTACTGTGCCTATTCTTTGTGCCATCAACTTTAAGTTCTTTTAGGAGATTATACCTTTACTTAGTAAAGTTTTGAAACTTGTAAGCTTTTGTCCTTCCTTCCTGCAACAGTCTTGGAGGCCCGCCCTGACAATGACCATTGGTCATCTGACATTAATAACTAATAACCAACTGACCATTAATGACCATTAATCATCTGACCAGTAATGACCAATAACCATCTGACCATCAATGACAATAACCATCTGACCAACAATGACCAATGATCATCTGACTATTAACGACCAGTAATCAGCTGACAAATATTGACCAACAATGGTCACATCACCCGTAATGGTCACATGACGGTTATTAATCATTGATCATCAGCTTCCCACAAATATACACTCAGAGAATTAATATTAAATAACTTTTATATATCATTACAGGTGAACTGTTTTTAACGGTTTTTCATGGTTTTAAAACCATAATATTACGGTTTTTCATGGTTGACCAGCATAAGGAGGGATATCCCATATAATAACTTGTGTGCGTTAAATCTCCTGCAAGATCGGAATACGGCATAAACATTTTATTTGAAAGCAACTTCTGTTAATGCGTAGGTATATTTGCGTGAAAAAGGGATCCGGCAGTATATATTTTTGTACGCGAGACGCTTTTTGATATTGCATACAGACCGATTTTTGACAGACGTATTCGCGTATTCGAGCCCGAATTTGACCTTCATTTGCTTACAAATAGATTTTTCTACACGTATATACCTGCTAACGGAAATAGTGATCAATGTAAATAATGGACTGATGAAAGAAGTGGCATATTATTATCTTGCTGTAAGCGCTAAGTTTTACTTAGGGTTGTTAGCGCATTTTCTCATTTATGGAAAAAAGGCGCCATTGTGCTCGTCATGTCCGTCCGTCCGTCTGTCCGTGACACGTTTTCATCGACGAGAAATTGCGCTCTCTGTCACTCGCTGCAGTGAGTACTGAGTTATATTCTGTTTTTCCTATGCGTATGAACTGGCGCTCACCCAGATACAACATTAGAACTGAACTCCTTTATGATGGAGGATGACAAGACCTATGACATGCTGGTGTTGACCACCAGCATGTCAGGGCTAGCCTGATGGACGAGGACAAGCCCCTGGTGTTCGTCCACCAGCACGTCATGGACGGCAGGGTAGCCGTGAAAAATGCTAGCCTTACAGCCAAGTTTCAAAACATGTTTCTCATGGATATTTTACAATAAATATAGGGGTAAATGTTTATACATAGTATACGATATTTTATTATAATAATCTAATTAGAGTCGCTTAAGTTCGTATAAAGTCGGTATTGCAAGGCTAATACGCATTGGCCAAAAGGCCATAGAAGCAATGTTCGATATCTTCAATGATGAGTATTTTTGGTAACCAAAACGTTTTATTTTTATATAAGCCAAACTTTAAAAAACTAATTTAAAAGTACAATTCAGTCTATAAAATGGAGATTTTTTAAATTCCCAAGCATAAAATCTTGGTTTGTTTTTTTCTTAATCACGATTCAAAAAGTTCCAAGTAAAATAGCTTTTATTTAAGTGCATCATTATCCGATACACTATATAAAACTATTTAGTAGGCACATGAAATAGGTCAATGAATAATTTAAAAAGATTCAACGCTCATGAATTGTACGTTCTACAAATATTAGAATGATCAAAAATTTAGCGACACATTTCATTTTTTAAAAATACTTGTTAAAAAAGTTACACTTCACTTAATTAAGAAAACTTAATTGAAAATAGAAAACTACTAGAAATTTACACTTTACTTACTTAATTTGCAAAATAATATTCTTCGTGATTTGTTGAAGCACGAATTTATATTCATGTTAATTTAACTGCAATAATTATCGGCTAATTGGCATGGCACTCTCAGAAAAATGGATGGCTCATACTGTTCAAATAGTGACACTTTCTACACTTAGAACCGATACCCAATTTTGTTTGATCTAACTGAGTCAAGGTAACCACACACGGGCATAAACTGCATCGATATTTGGACATCGATTATTAATTTCTCTGAGCGCATGCACTTACTAAATATATATAAATAAATTTAGTTATTTATTATTAATCATTATATTATTTATTTTAATAATTAAATAACAAATAAATAATTAATTTATTTCAGCAGAAGTTGTTCGTAAATGAAAGTTTTGCACAAAACCAGAGACCCTCTCTGCTATGGCCAGAAACTTACCCCTCTCTCTGCTATGTCCAGAGACTTACAACTCTCTGTCTCATAAGAGTTATACAACTTTTACATCTTTAATATATATAAAAGGCACCTAACTATAAATATTATATAAGGCACCTAAATGTGTTGCCAGTGTTGGTGTCAAGGATGTCGACGGTGGCAGCAGGTGGCAGCGGCGGCAGGAGGCAGGGGCAGGACGGCAGCTCCTGCACTCCTGAGAGCTGCTGCAGCACGCGCTCTGCTGGCGACCTCTGCCACTCGTCGCACTCGTCCCCATCTGATCAATAGTCATCATTAATCATTCGACCATTAATCATCTGACCATTAATCAATTGACCATTGATGACCAGTAATCATCCGACCATTAATGACTATTAATAATCTGACCATTAATGACCATTAATCATCAGGCATTAATTAATGACCATTAATCCCCTGACCATTAACGACCATTAATCATCTGACCATTAATGACCATTAATCATCTGATCATTACTGACCATTAATCAACTGACAATTAATAACCATTACTCATCTGACCATTAACAACCATTAGTCATCTGACCATTAATGACCATTAATCATTTGACCATAAATGACCATTAATCAGCTGATAAATAATGACCATTAGTGGTCACATTACTCACAATGGTCACATGACGGTTATTAATCATTGATCATCAGCTTCCCACAAATATACACTCAGAGAATCTAATGAGCTTTTGTCCAAGTAGCCAGGCACNGTGATTTATCGGTTTAGCGTTATCGAAGCTAACTTTTTAGTTAGCGGATTAGCGGTTATCGAAGCTAACTTTTAGGTTAGCTGTGCCCACCACTGCTAATATTATAATCATATAATTAATAAATTTTGATATTTAATACCTATATTACATTTGCTTCATATTTTTATTATTATATTATCATATCACCATATTATTATGTATTATACTTACATCATATCGTTTTAAAGTGATATCATTCTTATTACTATAAAGAATAATGATTATATAATATACTATGAAGTTTTTCGTTGAATAATCATGGTACCAGAAGGTAGAGCAGATGCAGAAGACTGCTGCTGCACTTGCTCCAGGCTCTGCACTAGTCTCTGCACGAGCTGCTTGACACTCTGCACCACGTACGTCCTGTTGTTTGTTATCTCTGACACCAGCGCAGTCTCTGAAATGAATTTTTTGGAAGGGAAAGTAGCAAGAAAGTAAGTTTGTAAAGTTGGATAAAAATTGTCAGCATTCGTGGAAAATGTAATTTTTTTCAATTGGACTTGTAGAAACTTTATCGATGTTTTTTTTATCGATGTTTGTAAATAAACGTTGCGTTTGATGATACAAACGGGATTTTAATTTTTGTTTTCATATTGGAAAAAGATGGTTTTTCTAATAAAGTAATTGGAGAAACATTAAGCCTGTTTTCTTTCCGCAATTTTGCACGAATTAAAGAAAACTTACCTGCATCCACCGTCCCAGTTAGAGCAACATGTTTGTTTTGCCATATTTCAGCGTGAAAAACATGCATTTTTTCATCACCCTTAAGAGGAGAAAGTAACTTCTGGCTTTCAATGGAGTGAGAAAACATGTACGGTTTTGTTGCCGCTGAAGAAGACGTCAAAGTTCCCATGTTTTTTATTGATGTTGACAAAGAGTTTCTTTGTACAATTATTTCTTCGCTAGTAGGAAAAGTTGGGGTAACTTTTAGAGATTTTTTCTTGTGTCCGGAATGAAGTGCGTGCTTCTGGTGACGCAAAACATGTCGAGCGTCGTGAGCTGGTGGGCTCAGTGACGTCAGGGAGGCGGTGGGAGGTGCACGTGTCATGTCTACGGAAATTCCTGAAAAATTGCAAACATATAGATTATTTTAGGAATCTTAATAATTAATATTAAAACGAACTTCACAAATTGAATGTAATAAGTTTAATCTCCAAAGGAAAAGGAAAATTTTGGAGAGCCACACAAACGCCTCACGGATATTTGAACGCACTAAGCACCGGCCGTTCCAAATATACAGAAATATATGTTGCGCTTATATTATTTTTACACCAAGCATGATCTAAATATAAATAAATTTCAAACAAAAACTCAACTGTTGCTTGAAAGAATATGCAGATCGTGATATTTCTTCGGAATTAATTTCATAGCTCATGGTAAAACTGTTCTACACGAAGGTTTACAACAGTCACTGCGATTTCAAATTTCCGTTTTAATAAAATGATTTTAATTCCCTCAAACCCCTGATACCTAAACAGATGTAAAATGTTTACATCAACGAAATTTTCCATGATATTCACACATGATCTTCACACGCAGCTGCAGAAGTTTTACACAATAGAGTCGTGCAGTTCAATTTACATTTTTGAATTTTTGAATATTATTGAATATCAACAGTTCATTTTTGAATATTTAAATAAAGCGAGACAATAAGGACCGCAAAAAAAGCATATAGCGACAAGGGGAATTAAAATGCTCTTTAATTATGGTTGTAATGTATGTAAATAAAAGCACACTGTTAGAGCGACGGTGATGTTCGAACGCTCTTACTTCAGCGCCAGCCAGACCACTGAACTTTAACCGCGCAGGGAAGTGAACTTCTTGACATTTATTGGTAACGAAGTATTTAGTATTGGTATTCTTGACATTTATTGATAACGTATTCTTTATTGGTAATGAAGGCGCTGGTGGATACTGATGAGGCAGAGTAAATATAGATGCAAGAAGAAAAAAAATTAACTCAGCGAATGGCATGTACTGAATCTGTTGTTCGAAGTAGTGAAGAAAGATGCTTCTGCAAATAAAAATAATTATCTTAACAAGAAGCGGCATCTTAGCAAAAAGTGCATCGCTACTAGAAAAAATCTCACTTGTTTCTCTGAGTGTACTGTATCGCTAGCACATTTTTACCACAGTATTTTTGCCGTGCCTTCACATTTGTGGGTCACAAATGTGAATCACAATCACAAATGTGGTTCAAAGCAGAGGCGTGGCGCACGCGTTCCCGGTGTTGTTAGAGCAGATATTTGTGAGTGAGACAAAAAAATTTTAGCAGCGATAAAATTGTCTCATTTCCTACACTATTTTTATAGCAGAAACCCAATCATTGTGCTACCGAGGACGAGGAGACACAATTCGGCCTGAAATAACACCGACTAAACGAGTTACTTTTTTGGGGTCTCATGAGAGTGGATGAAACATTTATTGAAACTTCCTCCAATGGCGGTTTGTTAAATACTTATAATGGAAACTTTTTTTTAAAGTATTAGAAACGCTGATAGTACGTTGCTCGGAAGTCGGCTTTCACCGAATATTAGGTCTATAATTGCTTGCCTATCGCCTAGTTAATTTCCTAGTTCTGTCAGTTCCCCTAGTAGAGGTTATTTATCATACCGATCTTAGTGAAGTATTTAGTTGAATATTTTTACTCGGCTATCAAACAACTATTTAAGATTATTAAAATAATCGCCCCCGGCCAAAGGTCAATCACTATGATAAAATATTTGTAGGAGTTCATAAACGGTTCAAGTTACAATAGCGTCATCAATTCACAGTAATAACTACATTGATGCTTCGCGTTACCCGAGTGAGTAATCTCCAAGATTCTCATATCAGTAATCTCCAAGTTACCCATGCGATTGATCTCCAATTAATCTTTAAGTTACCAGAGCGATTAACCTTCAAATTGCACGGACGGAAAGTTTTCAGTGTTGGATGAGGTCGGAGCATCCACGCTCTTCGCCACTATTTACGAGCATGAAATGGGCCAAATATTCCCTATTAAACATGGCACATGTCAAACCGAATAAACAGTAGAGATTAGAGTGAATGCCACTCACCTTTAGTGTTGCTAGAGTGGCGTACGTTGTCTCCACCTGGTGACTTCCCGGGCTTTTCATGCTCACTTGTTACGTTAACGAGCGTGTTAATTTCATCTACACTCTTATCGTTATTGCTAACACTATTTACTTCAGCTACACTCTTATCATTATTGCTAACACTATTTACTTCAGCTACGCTCTGACCGTTATAGCTAACACTATTTACTTTATCCAAACTGTTATCGGTATTGTAAACGAAATTAATGTAATTTACATTCTTATTAGTAGTGTCGTTAACTCCGTCCACACTCTCAACGGTAATGTTAACACGATTTGCAACATCTTCACTCGTACCAGTATTATCAGTATTATCATTAACTTCATTTACACTTTTAACGGTTTTCAGAACATGATTATCTTCATCGACACTCAGTTGCTTATGCGCCCTCTGAATGACCGACTTTCGCCCGTGGTGCGTCATGTCAACAGAAAAACTATATTCAAGTCCAGAATTATGATCGGTAGACCTGGAAGATGAGGCTGAGTCGATTCCTGACATCAGGTCCCATCTATATTTTTCTTGTTGTTTTGTAGTTGTTTTCTCGTTGCGTCGCTTCCAGTGATTGAGCAAGGGAATTCTTTCACGGGAACCTTGGTCGTCCTCAGGAATATTTACAGCAGCAGGATCATCGCCGAGAGGGAGGACATGGATGGCAACTTGGATTGTCCCGTTGCCAGGCGGGGTCAAGAGAGGGGGAGAGTGAGGGTTCTTCGTTACCAGGTGCTTGTTAAGAACTACTCGGGGCAAGAAACGGTCAAATATTGACGAACGTGACTGTACAGGTAAATTTTTTAGTCCTGCTGGAAGGTTTACAACTGTGTGACCACCAGACATCTCAGAAGAGTCTCTTTGTAACACGAGCGACGGTGTATGGCCTACAAGTTGCGACTGATCCGTATAGTGACGCTCGGCATACGGTTCCTTGCTCGCGTGTTCCGATGCGCTTAGCTCGTCTAGTTCTTTCTTCGCCTGTTGTACTTGTTCTTTGATGTGAATCTTAGTGTGCATGTTCAGTTGTAGTGGCTCATTTGCCGTGCTGTGAGTCGGACGAACGTTGTCCGCGGAATTTGAATACAGCATTAAGTGACTGAAATCTTCGTTGAGCTTCCGGATGCCGCTCAGAGGATTCTTCGACAGAGCAAAGGAGGTTGGATCTCTCTCACCCATATCCTGCATAAGTGAAGATCTCAATCGCATCCACGGTGGTCGCCTATGCTCGTTCCGGACGATTTTCTTCTTCTTTTTGCGCGTTTTGTGCTTTTTGTGAGATTTATTTACCCGCTGTTTGTTCCACGCTGACTGCAAGCGCTCTGTAGCGCTCTCATGCTCCCGCATTCGGCGATTCATTTTCTTATTTCTCCTATCAATTATTTTGTCCGGTCTTTCTTTCTTCCTGCGTTTCCTTCGTCTACTGGGTTTTCTTTTCCTTCGCTTGCCATGGCTTCGTTCTTTCCTGGTTTTCCGTCGCAGAAATTCTAGTGTTCGGTGTGTCTTAGAAGGCCTCGGGTCAGCGTTTCGCCTTGTCATCGCCCCTGCGTATCTCTTGTCTCTACTTATGCCCGGAGCAGAAGAAAAATACTTTGTCAACATCTGAGGGGATACTAAAGCCCAAACGAACGAAGGGTTGCTTCCTGGGGTCTGCTGGGTGTTGTTACGGACATTTTTCATGCGTTCTGTCGATGTTCGACGAAGAGCAGTTTCATGTTGCGCGCTTTTTGACGGCCATCTTTTAGGACAGGGCTGCATTGGGCGGACGTCTGGTACCGATTCGAGACCTCCAACCTGAAGTGAATGTAATAATCGAATTAAATATTTGCGAGGGTCAACATCTGACTTGAAAAATAAGTTCATATTATCGGGGAAAAACTGAAAAAAGCGGAATTATGCAGAGAAGATTTTTGAGAATAACATAAACTTAAAGCCACGTGTGAAATATTCGTAGTTATACCGCAAATTGCAAACGTCATACACTTGCAATAGAAAGTATAGGAAAATTATATCATTCTACTTCATAGAGACCATATTTATTTTGGGAGCTGAAAACTTAAATGGAAAAATTCTGACCTTCACCGTATTAAAATACCAAAAAATAATCTCGGTAAAATTGTCGTCAGAACTTTAAACACATTTTCAGTACTTTGTACATCATACCAGAGTCAATCTGACTCTATTATTTGCATTAGAAATCAGCAAGTTTATTATCTAAAATATGATTAGAAGTTGTTAACATTCACTGACTGTTGAGGCGCTCACGCCTTGTGTGCCACATGTATGGAGTAGGTTGAAAAGCTTCAGATGATATTTTTTTGCTATGATAAGCCAACTATACATTCCTCCTTATATACGTATTCTGAATTTCAAAATGTTAACGACAATAGCGACAATTGATTTTGATAATTTAAAACTGGAATTTGAGGTGGACTGCCTCTAGTCGTCGGTGTAATCCCATAGAGATGTCATTTTCGGGTATCAGTAGATACCTATGACCGTTTGAATGTATTTAAAATTTCTAAAAAATCTTAAAATTATAACACTCTACTTTTATCTCGTTGTAATATAAAGATTTTAAAATTATAATTTAATCGTCACGCAGAAAGTTGTACTTTGATATAATTTTTTCATGCAAACATTCAAAGAAATAGATTTCATGGGAGCTAACATTAAACTTTTATACTAACAAAATTGCAACTATCAAGTTAAAATCAAGATAACTTTTTTGCCAGTCAGAAACGAAATGAAATCTAGCCAACACACGTGGGCTTAGCAGGCAGCATAATTACGTCAGAAAATGATCAAGTTTCCGACACAAGAAAATGTTGCCGGGCAACGGCCGCTGCCCTCTAATTAGCAGCACTTGTATGAAGATCGGCACGAGTTGAGGGCTGTCGGCGATTGCGCCCTTACGAGGGATAATTATAGACGTAGGCTTACACACCACTCAGTATAGGCCACCACAGCACTCAGGCATACATAGGCAGCAAAATATTAAATAACTTTTATACATCATTACAGGTGAACCGTTTTTTAACGGTTTTTCATGGTTTTAAAACCATAATATTACGGTTTTTCATAGTTGACCAGCATAAGGAGGGATATCCTATAAAATAACTTGCATGCGTTACATCTCCTGCAAGATCGGAATACGGTATAAATTTCATTTGCAAACAATTTCTGTTAATGCGTACATTTGCGTGGAAAAGGGTTCCGGCAGTATATATTTTTATATGCGAGATGCTTTTTGATATTGCATACAGACCGATTGTTGACACGTATTCGCTTATTCGAGCTCGAATTTGACCATCATCTGCGCACAATGCGTACAAATAGATTTTTCTACACGTAAATATCTGCTAATGGAAATAGTGATCAATGTAAATAATGGACTGATGAAAGAATCGTTACATTATTATCTTGCTGTAAGCGCCATGTTTTACTTGGGTGTGCTTCTGCTATGCGTATGGACTGGCGCTCACTCAGATACAACATTAGAACTAAACTCCTTTATGATGGAGGATGACAAGACCTATGACGTGCTGGTGTTTGGCCACCAGCAAGTCAGGGTGAGCGTGATGGACGAGGACAGGCCCTTGGTGTTCGTCCACCAGCACGTCATGGACGGCAGGGCGGCCTGATGGACGAGGCGGATGATCACCACTTCAGGCAAGGGTCAGGCGGACCGGACGGCGTCGTCTGCACGCGAGGTCGCCGCGTTTTTGCGGACGGTCATCTACACTCAGAGAAATAAGCGAGACTCGGTCCTAATAGCGATGTACCTTTTGCCGCGTGTGGGGCGTGGGTCACTGTGACCAAGTTTGTCTTTGGCATAAGGGCGCATCAGTGCTACGTGGAGAAAGTGTGTCACTATTTGGATAATTTTACCTACGTATCTATTTTTATGAGTGAGATGTGGAGGGTTTAGCCGTTTGGGTATCCTCGTGCTTAGAGAAACAATTGATAATAATTGTAGTACATGAGAAATATTCATTCACCAATATTTATTAAGCAGGCTTGTGTCGAACATCATAAAAGCCCAACTAAGTACCGCGTTCTAGCTTTCATTGCTAAAACGTATATATGTATATATATTTTTATTTATTCAATTATTATTACAATGAATTTGGTTCTGACTATGGAATGAAGGTTTGACACGAAACGGATAATATGCCGATGATGATGAATAATAATACAAATAATATGAATGCTCGCCAAGCACACAAAGGCTGTTATCCGTTTTGTCCTAAGATGGAAATCACTTGCTTCCAACTGAGCGCGCAAATTTATGCCAGGCGATACTCTCTCGTCAAGCGTTCCTACTTAGAATTCTGGTAGGAAATGCACGGGAAATTTTTAATACTATGTTTTCAGCGCTCAAATATTTACACAAGAAAAATTTCTTTGTTGGATAATTCACATTACCTTCTGGGTGCTTCGTTATTATTTATTAATAACTTTTTATTATTTATTGATAACTTTATTTTGCGAATGCTTTGATAGAATAGTTACAGGAAAAAAACGTTCTCTAGAAAAAATAATAACCGTTCTTATAAGAAAACGAAATATGAACATTTTTAACTTCACGGCAGTTTGGTAATGTTGAATTCTCTAGATGTAGAATTCTCTAGAATCCTCGCAGTTTGGTAGTGTAAAATAATGTAGAATTCTTTAGAATTCTCGCAGTTTAGTAATGTAGAATAATGTCGAATTCTCTAGAATTCTAGCAGTTTAGTAATGTAGTATAATGTCGAATTCTCTAGAATTTACAGGTTCCAGCACAAAGCGCTCCTGTGTAGCCGTCATACAAAAGGCACTTGAGGGATAACTGATTCATTTTATCCACAGTAGTTCTGAAGGTAAGAAATCCTTGCTCGATAGTTTAGCGTCATTTGAGAAGAGAATACCTCAAGGCACGCTAGAGGTCGGTCTTGAGGAACACTTAAGGTTGGAGGAAGAAGAGAGAAGCCCGAACAGGGGTATATGCCAATTATATATTCACCATGACTACAAATTCAGCGATGATCGGGAATTTTCTTTAAATTCTGTAATCTTAAGGTAAAAAATCTAGAAAATTAGTGGCTGTTTGACGGACTTGTGATTTAGGAATAAATATTCTGTAAAAGTAAAGATAGTTAAACGCACGATATGTGCGTTTTCACTAATTTTTATAATATGCTTTTAGTCTTACGGATTAAAACCATGTAACATATATCACTCGTGACGACTGGCAATCGCACACGTATAACGACTATGTTCATGGAAGATATTCAGGGACCGAGAAAGTTGTTACCGCATATTATAACAAGTCATTCATTTTGCTACATTCGTGGTATAGTAGAGCTAAACTCAGGTATAATCCATTCATATACATGCATAAAATGGTCATACTATAAGAAAATAAACTTATAATCTGGTATATATGGTCATAGCCTGGTATGTCACCGTCATATTCTTTTATAATACGGTCATACTCTATAATACGGTGATACTTTAATATGATAATTGAAACACAATCAGCGTTGAAATATCCCTTAAATACGCAGACTTGATTCACAGGTCAACACTTCAACGTGTCAACCATTAATTCGAGAGTATAGCGTACCAGAACGACATGCCGGGGATGCAAAATTACCTCGAGCTAATCGGGAAGACCACTAATATATCCACAGTCTAATAAGTTTTATAATAATATGATAATCAACTAAATAAATCAAAGGAGAGAAGAGCTATAAATTATATCACTAAACTGCCAACTATGAACTGTATGCCGATCCGCACCAAGAAAGTATTTTAATTATCAATTGAATAAAGCACTATACATTACTTTGCCTTCACGCAATGGACAAGATTGACGAGCTTATCATGTTTTAGTGACCAGAAGGCATCCGGCACACATCTTACTTTATATTTTGAGGATAGTAAGTATTATTCTTACTGTACCTAAATATATTGAGTCATTAGTCTTTAATATTCAGTTATAATAAACAAAATTTTGCGTGGTAATATGGATAATTTGTACGATGCACAAGTTTGTGTCAGAAATTCATGGCAGCACTGATTTTCGTCTGAGAAATTCTCTCAGAAATGTGATGAAGCTAGGATCTACATATAGCACGGATCTTTGATAATTTACGCAAGAATATATGATGTAAGCCATAGTGTCCGAACCCTGGGTCCCGGATTACTGAACCTCTATACTTTATGAGTAGACCAGCTTTTTGCAGAACGGCTGCCACCTATGTATAGATAGTTTTGTGCCACAAACACTAAACTTTTCATTAAATTTCAAATAAATGTATACACACACACCTTACCCAACAAATTAAGGCACTTTCATCTTCATATATGTTGTTCGGTCAAGCAACGCTAAATTATTTTATATGCGTTCCCGAAATACTACATAAGCGAACAACCGCCGACCTCATCTGGCAGCTCAAGGCAAATCCTGAGTCCCAGCTCAGCGTCTCATATCGCGGATTACTGCGCGCTTTTCCAGCGCTGTCATCACCAACCTGCTGGGCATCTGACGCTTCGATAACGTTGCTTAAATGTCGTTTCTACACACAGTCATTTTGCTATCAACATTATTTCAACGAAATCAATTATTAATCAACACTTTTATATAATAAACCTTTTATATATAATAAAAGCTAATATATAATATAAACTAATATATAATAAACCTTTTTTAAACAAAATCAACTGGCCATCAACCTTTTTTCAACGAAATCAACACGCTACTAACGTTTTTTCGGAACGCTATCAACGTTTTTTATGAAATCAACAAA